GAAACAGAAATAGTCTCCTGTCAATTCGGAGATAGCTTGTCACGATTTTACCAAGTCTGGAACACCATCACAACAGAGATGGGTTTTAGAAATTTATCCAAAAGGGTTACTCCATCCCCTTTACCTCTATTCCACCTATCCATTCTCCCCCCTGCCCCCTCCAATCCCTCTTCAGAGACTCCTCTCACGAGCACCTGCTGCTACAGGAAATAAATCACCTCGTACAACTCGGTGCCAAGGAACCTGCATTGCAGCACCGGGGCGGGAGGGGGCGGTTTGCATTGTTTTTTAACACAGAAAAAGACTGGCAGGTGGAGACCCATCCCAGATCTACAGAAACTCAACAAATTTGTAAGAACACAATGTTTCAAAATAGTAGCACTATCTACAATAATTCCAGCGTTAGAGAAGGGAGATTGTCTCTCGATCTGGAGGACTCATATTACCATCCACCCGTCACACAGAAGATTCCTGAGGTTCACCCTAGGGAAACATTTCCAATACAAAGTATTACCCTTCGGCCTGTCCTCCGCTCCAAGGGTTTTTTCCAAAGTTCTAGCTCTCATGGCGGCACTCTCTAAATAGACGCCACACAGAGTAAAATGGTGAACACAACTAAAGAACGTCTGTACAGGAGTCCCATTTGAAATGCATGCAATCACTTTCTACCTCTAATTAAAAACACAGCCATCAGGATCCTCACGGACAATATACCATGCATGTTTTACATAAACCGCCAAGGGGGTAGCACAATCATACTCCCTATGCACAGAGGCAATACAACTTTGGAATTGGTGCATCAACAACCACATCAACATATCAGCATCCTACCTTCCGGGATTTCAGAACACAACAGCAGATGCCCTAAACAGAGTTCTCACAAACCCATGAATGGGAGATGGATCTCGGAATTCTACATGCCATATTCAAACTGAGGATTTCCCACCATAGACCTCTTTACAACAGCACAGAATACCAAGTGCCCACAATATTGCTCCAGAGCGGGATTGGGACACTGCTCCCTAGGTGATTTCCTCATCTAATGGGATGTGCCACTGATGTATGCATTCCCTCTGACCCCACTCCTAAACCAGGTCATTCACAAGACCAAGGAGGACAAATCCAGTGTCATTCTGATAGCTCCTACATGGCCCAGACAAACATGGTTTCCATATCTCCTTCAGATGGCGGTGAGCCCGCCTCGAACCCTTCCCCTAGTACCTCACCTTCTATCACAATATGCAGGACACGTCTGCCACTCCACCTCACAGCCTGGTTACTCCATGGCTGACTGTGGTTGAGGAGGCCTGTTCAGATGAAGTAAAAGATATATTAATAAACAGTCGGAGAGTGAGTACAAGGAAGACCTATATCCATAAGTGGAAATGATTCAGTGTTTGGTGTCAAGATAAACAGATCTTACCAACATCTTGCCCTCTACCAAGGGTCCTGGACTACACGCTATAATTAAAAAAACCGGGGCTCTCCACAAGCTTCATCAAGGTACACTTGGCAGCTATTACCTCTTTGTACGACAAAGTGGATTGAGCCACTATATTTGCCCACCCGATGATTAAATGCTTTCTTAAGGGCATTGAGAATGCCTACCCCACAATAAGGAACCCTTTGCCCATGTGGGAGCTCAAACTTGTCCTACATGGGCTTATGGGAAAACCATTTGACCCACTCGCCATATACTCACTCCTCCACTTATCCATGAAGGTGGCCTTACTTATTGCCATTACATCCGCCAGAAGGCTGGGAGAACTAGGGGCATTACTGGCGCACACACCCCATACACAACTTTCTTTAAAGACAAAGTTGCCTTAAGACCACACCCCAAATCCCTACCCAAAATCTCCTCCCCCCTTCATCTGAATCAGCCTATCTACTTATCTCTGTTTTTTCCCAAACCAGATGCAAACGGAAGGGAGGCATCACTCCCACACGCTGTTCGTTCATCGAGCTCTAGCTTTCTACATTGAAAGAACAAAACCATTTAGAAAATCTCCAAGACTATTTGTTGCTATAACAGCTTCTCTTATTGTTCTATCGCAAAATAGAGACTATCTAAGTGGATATCAGGATGTATCCACCTCTGTTATCAAAACTCTCATCTACCAGTCCCAATGAACTCTACCAGAGTACTTTGGACATCAGTAGCCTTCCTCAATAATGTCCCTATGGTTGACATTTGCAGAGCAGCAACTTAGGCATCAGCCCATACATTCACGAAACATTATGCCTTAGAGCAACGATCAGCTTCGGACACTCGCTTTGGACTCAAGGTGTTATCTGCCATACATACTGCAACTCTGAAGCCCCTCTTCTCCCCCCGCCCCCCATTGAGAGGCACTGCTCAACAGTCACCTAAAGTGGAGCACCCACAGGGACACTCCTCGAAGAAGAAAAGGTTACTCACCTTGTGCCATAACTGAGGTTCTTCAAAATGGTGATTCCTGTGGGTGCTCCACAAGCCCTCCCTCCTCCCCTCCCTTTAGAGAAACTGCATGAAACTCCAGGGTAGAGAAGGAACAGAGGGACGGTTGACTGTGCACCACTATGTAACCACTCAGAGCAGCACAAAATGGCAATGGCGCATGCGCGGACCAACTGGGTGCAGCTACCACAAATCTCCAATTACAAGCGCAGGGCATGAAGACACCTAAAGTGGAGCACCTGCAGGGACAACCATCTCGGAAAACCTCAGTTACTGAACATCGTGAGTAACCTCATTTGCAGAAAGAATGAAGGGCCAATGTATTTCTCTGCAGTAGTTGTCGAAGTGAGTTTTGGGTTGTATTTTGACCTGTTAGGAAATAATTGGGGCACAGTCCTCCACTAGAGCTCAGTCCATGTCTACTAAAAGATGTTCCCAGAGCAGAAATCTGCAAGACTGCAACTTGGTCTTCTCTTCAGACCTTTGCCAAGCCTAATGCCACCTTACCTGCTTCCAGAGACAACCCTGCCTTTGGTGATGCAGTTCTCTCAACAGTTCTTGACTTACCTTCCCAGTACCCACCACCTTTTGAATTACTGCTTGGGAGTCTCCTATGGGGGAGTGCCCACAGAGACACGTACTCGAAGAAAGAGAGGTTACTTACCTTACAGTAACTTGTCCCTGTGGGAGCTCCACCTCCCTCCTTCCCCTCTGCTATGGAGTCTCTGGCTTTGTTGCTGTGAAGGAACTGACTGGTGATGGGCTCGCACCTGCCTATTATCCCCTTGTTTGGATCACAGTGTTCTGCGCAGGTGTGGCCTGCAAGCACTACTTTGCATTTTCCTTTCAAGAGCGTATGGGCACTTGCATCCTATGGGGGGACAAAAACCATCTAAAAGAATTCAAATTGCTGTAAGATAAGAAATCTCTCCTTTGTTAACTTGTAAAGATTACACAAGGAGCCTAGCTCTTGGCCTGCAGTTTTGAGGCTTATTGAAGGTGAGAAATGAGTGTTTTCAGGGACTTGTGTGCAGCATACCACAACTGGTGATAATTTTATGCCATTATATTTGGTGTAAAAACTAAGTGGGATGTTTTGCAGATAGATGGGGTCGGGTGAGGACTCTAGAAGTCAGGTTCGCGTTCCAATAAAGCTTTTCAAGTCCCCAGAATTAGATTTCCTTACCCAAATGTGTGGATTTTATGCTGTTCCTCCCTTTCCATGGCAAGTGATCTCTGACAACTGCAGCACTTGTTTACATGGGAAAAATAATAGGAAAACTATTTGCATTGAAAATGGCTATATAGCAGCAGTAAATGAGGGGCCAGCGCCATATGATGGGCAAGACCTATTGGAGAATAACTGAATAATTCCTTCTATATGTTGGAAATAGATTACAAGCAATACGACTCAACATGACATGTCTGATGTACTGAAAGTTGACAAGCTTGTAAAAAATCAATTATAATCGTTAGCTTAATTAGTTATTATGCAGTTTGAAAACTTGTGTAGTTGTAGCTTGAAGTCTGAGAACCTGTGTCTTAATGGAGGTCTTACACCTTACAGTGTGGCAGCCAACATTCTCCCCCCTCCCCCCGTTTAGACTACAGGCAGATTAAAAACATAGCTTTGGCAAATTATGATAAACTTTGAGACCAAATAAGTCAATAAAAACTGATTGAGCTTTCAAGGTGTTCATGGCCATCAGGACAGAGGCTACTGTAGCAGAGAGACTGGATGGAAATTGGAGTACTTGTGGCACCTTAGAGACTAACAAATTTATTTGAGCATAAGCTTTTGTGGGCTACAGCCCACTTCTTCGGATGCATAGAATGGAACATATATTGAGGGGAGATTTTTTTTATATATATATAATGAGCATGAAAAGGTGGGAGTTGTCTTACCAACTCTGAGAGGCCAATTAAGTAAGAGGGGGGGAAAAAAACTTTTGAAGTGATCAAGATAGCCCAGTACAGACAGTTTGATAAGAAGTGTGAGAGTACTTACATGGGGAGATAGATTCAATGTTTGTAATGGCTCAGCTATTCCCAGTTTCTATTTAAATTGTTTGTACAGGGTTTGGCCCTATATTTTTGTCTGTTACAATACAAAAGTTGAATTATAACTTTGCCACTATATGGTCGTATGTAATGTGTTAATTAGGAACTGATAGGTAGCGTTCTCCTGGAACTTGTGCTTTTCTGTGTCACGTGTGTTCATTTTTTTGTTCCACATATGGCATGATATTGTTTCCATGCTGATAACAACCAGTTACCATCTTCAATCATCAGTTTCAAACTGGTTCAGTAGATCAGACAAATTGGAAACCAAAAGCTTTTTAAAGTGGCAAAGTAAAGATGAGGAACATTGCTATGTGAATTCAAAACAGTTCTGATGTTTTCAAATCTTGTAGTAAAAATACTAGCTGACCTCACTTTCTCTTGTGGATAGGGCAATTGGTATTCCATTTTGCTGCTTGATCTAAGTTAAAATGAGACCCTCAGCCTTGATTTTCTTCTTTAATTAAATATGTATTTAGAATGGATGCTTTGCCTGTAGGTTAACAGCTGGATCCAGACTTGAAACTGTGGAAAATGAAGACCTGAGTGAAAAAACAATCAAGCCTGAGAAGAAAACACGAAAGAAAACATACACTACATTATATGTGTCTTCTAAACCAACTCCTGAAACACAATGTCCTCAGCAATAAAACTCAGTTTTTCCAGAGCAAATCTGGAAACTTAGTCTTGCCTTAAAGATTCTGTTGTGAAGCAATGAATACATAGTGTACCATTTTTAATGTACATATACTTTGCATTTTAAGAAACCTGTGTATCTGCCTTCTGTTTCATGAACAATTAATATTATGGTTTGTATTATGCAGGGCTCTCACCATCCCTATTTGGTTAACCTCAGAAGTGCCACAAAAATAAATTCTCTTTGGTAACTTGACCCAAAATGTTGTCTCATCCTGAATTTTAGTTAAGACCCTAATCATTAGTAGTTTTGGGTTTCCAAAAGTGTAGCTCAGTTTAGAATGACTAGAGTTGACTATGGACATCCTGTGAAGCTATATAATAAATACAGGTGTAAACCGAGTAGGACTGCATATTTCTCTAGTGAATAAAATATTGTGACACTGGACTGATGGAAGGGAAGATAGAGAGAGAACAATAAATACTAATGTTATTAAATTCCTAAAGGTTGTTTTAATTGTTTTAAATGGGCACCTTTCAAAGCTACATTTTCCCCCAGTGTGTAGCAATTTCTGATTTTCAGCACACCCTATATACTTAAATCCCACATTTAACATCCTCTTTAAAAGTCATATGAACGTGGGGTGCATTTGAAATGCTAGGAAGGATCTTATAAATGTACTAGCAATTAAAATAAACCTTGCTTTATTCCTTTTGAAGGTGCCGATAAATGTTGCATTGTATGACAAAGTGCTTAGTTTTCTAAATGTAAAATTCTAAAAAAAAAATTCAGAAAATCTTTTTGTAATATTCTGTGTGTAAAAACTGACTATGTACTAAAAGTTTATTACTGCTCTTAATGTAATTACTTTTTTCTGTTTAATTTTGTTTGTAGAATACAAAA